CCTCCACTTGTTTATCTCCCACCTCGCCGCCGCGTCTCGGCGGTAAACCACAGGAACGCTCCTCCATTAGGGAACGGCATGGTATTTTTTCAAGTGATTCACTCGAGCAGCAGTGGGCAAACATGCTTTCATCTTTTTTTGTTTTTTTCCTTCTTCTTCCTGCTAATGTTTGTTGGCACAAAGCGGCAAGTGGGGCCACGCACGGTTCCTAGGTGCTGGGAAATACCGCTGGAGAAAGCTGCTCTTTCTTCACGTGGCCGGTCGGGGACAGATTTGTCCTCCACACCGCGAAATCAGTGCAAGTTCCTGTGGGATGGGTGCGCAACGTTGGCAACGTTTTGATCGTGCGTCCCAGGAGCAGAGCGACGGCGAATCTTTCTGGTGCCTCGTGCTGAATTTATTCTGGAAAGCAGCTTTGCAGCTGGCAGTGGTTGGTTGGTTGGTTGGCTCAGGTTGGCTCCTCCCTGAGCTGTTGGACCTGCACTAGCTATCGGCATTCATATCAAGCGTCTCCAGTTCCAGCCTGGGCCCTGGATGTCTCCTGGGATAGCAAACGTACCACACCTCCTCCCCGAGGACTGACAAAAAGCACGGCACAATTTAAAGAGTAGTATTGAAGAAAATGGATCCCGTGCTGTATTTCAACCAGCCGCAGGTTTGCAGCTACCCGGGCGTCACCGCTGCTTGCTTCCCTGCCTGCGAGCAGGTCCGTCCTCTGCGCTGTCCCTTAGGGCCGTCTTTGCGGCATCATGGACAAAGCGAGAGCAGGGCTTGCGCTTTGCCTCGCCTGTCCTCGGAAGAAATTGTGGCCTAGATCCTGACTGTGGCGTATGTCCTGCTGGGGATGAAAAGAGGCAGAAAGGGCCCAGCGGGGTGTCCCCATCCCGAGATGCGTTTTTGGTGCTGGCAGCTAGATAAAATCCACTTTGGCCTTGTTCGCGGAGCGAATCCCAAGCAGGATAACTGTGACGCAGGTAGCAACCGCGTTGTTATCACGGTGCCGATTTTCCT